ACACATCTGTACGTCCTGACGTATACATCAGAGTGTGATTGTTAGAAAAATACTTTCAAACATTGAATGAATGTTTGAGTTTCAGTGGTTTAAAAGGCTTCTGTAGTAAAATGTGCTTTGAGTGCTCAGTTTGATACAAAAACTCTAATAATAATAATGGATTGGATTTATATAGCGGTAGGTAAAGTGTCTTGCCCAAGGACACAACGACCAGGACAGAGAGCCCGGGGACCGGCAACCTTCCGGTTACAGATGCGCTTCCCAACCCCCTGAGCCACGGTCGCCCCAATAAGTACTATAAGTACAGTTTTCATATTTACCTTTGACCATGAATTTAGACGAGAGGAACTGAGCACAAGCTGAGAGAGTTTGTCTGTGATTTATAGAGTAAAACTCTTTGAGAAATGTCAGAATATTTTATTAATCCCTGAGATAATTATATGGGTCACATCGTCCTGATGCTCAATCATCCAGCTAAGTAAATCCCCAAAAGTTGATCCTGTTCATCTGGACGTCTTCAGTCTCAGCTGACTGCAGGTTTATAAGCAGGACGTTTACATACTGACTGAAACCAGCCCACCGAAGGAGCCATGGGCTGTGAGGTCACCTTCATCATCATTATAAACATTCAACAACCACTGATCAATGGCCATGAGTACCATTCACACAGAGTTGCTGCAATCACAGCATGTTTCCGTTTCTCCCGCTGAAAACGCTGAAAACGCTGAAAACGCTGAATCAGCATGTCGACATCACCACTGCTGCTGAAGTGAAACACAGCGAGGGGGATGTGGAGCTCACTGTTGGTTTCCTGATGATTGTAGATGGAATCGATGGTAACATTACTGGACACATGCAAGATTATTACAATCAGGACGAAGAAGAAATCATGTTTTAAAGTTGTGTTTCCTTTCAGATGCATTTGTCTGTCATAGCGAGTCGCACAGCTCACAAGAACATGACTGCAGTTCCCCAAACAGCAATAATTTATATAAAACTGCTTTTACAACCCTTGTGTTTGTAGTTTGTCCTCCTGTGTGTCTGTGAGGTGACTGCCTGTGCGAGAGACAGCTACAGTATATTTATCCTCATCAGGATTGCAGGGCAGCCTAGCCCAGCTAGCATAGAGAAGAGGCAGCGCTACACCACGGACTAACAGGACTACTACGTTACCAAAAGCACCCATCCAGATATATTCATTCATGTGTTCACAAACACAGGTTTATAAAGTGCGTAAGCATCCAGACTGTGAAAGAACAGGATCTGTCGTACCGTGACAGGATACCACCTGTGAAGTGTTAACTGTCAACTGTTCGTGGTGTGGGAACTACATTATTATTGAAAGCTGCTTGGGGCTTGTTTCAATTCTTTATTTCTAAACTATTACTTCACGAAGGTGATTACAGGCATTAATCAACACAATTTACAAGGGAAAACAAAACGAAACGAAAGAAAAAGGAAAAAGAAGGAAAAAAACAGTCGGGAGTGACCAGTTAGCTCGGTTGGTGGTTTCAAGCTCTGAAAAGAAGATTCGGCTTATGGGTATTGGCATATATATATATATGAAGCGCCTTGAGGCGACATTTGTTGTGATTTGGCGCTATATAAATAAAATTGAATTGAAATTGAATATAGGACCCACTTATCCCAACACGAATGGAACCAACCCACCCTGTCATTGACATGAGCTGTTACCTCCTCCATCCTATAAATCTCTAGCGTAATTTCCACCATAATGACAAGGTCGGACCATTTCTTAGTTATACCTTTCTTACTTAGTAAGTAAAGCTCTTAACAGACATGTATCATATTTAGACCAGCTGCTTGGGGCTTAACGTGATGCATATCCTACTCCTCTTTGAACATGTGAAGTTATTTATGATGATCTTATTTATTTTTAGAGATCAAACTATAAATTAAAAACCATGACTCTCACACCCGAGCCTCAACTCTCACTTCCTGGTACCAAACATGGACCGGTGCCGGCCCGGGGCTCGGGGACCGCTGCTGTTGGAGATGCCTGGAGCGGCTGCTTGGTGCTCTCACTGTTCTTTCATTGATGTATTTTTCCTGATCTCATATCTTCTTCATCTTCTCTTATTGCATGTGTGCTGCTGCTGCTGTGAGTCAGACTCTTTCTGTGGGCCGTGCCCGTCCAGCACCGCTGCTCTGTTCCACTCTGAGCCTGCTGCAGCTGGTCTGTTCACAGGTAAGCTCAGCCTGTTACAGTGTTACAGCTCACTCATTCATCCTGAGACATTCATCAAAGAAACTCATGTGTCAGCTGGTAATTGCACAATATAAGAAATGTAAAGAAATGTAAAGTTTGGGTGGGCAATGTGATTTTGGACTACTGGACAACATTTCAGTGCGCTGTGATTAAAGTAATATGAGATGAACGAGACTCCTCCTCCTCCCCTGGGCTCTGCTTTGGGGCTTTAGCCTGTGATGACAAGTAGATGCAGTCCAGTGAAACACTATAAATAGCACAGTAACAGCGAGTATGATGAAGTGTGGAAAAACGGATCCAGAGCAGGGTTAGAATCCGCTGTGAGCCCAAACGTGATATTAACATATGGTTCATAAGCACATGTGCGTTAATGTATTAGTACTTTTAAACTGTCAGTGTGAAACGCAGCAGACAGTTGTGCATGTTGATCGTCACCAGTTGGAATCATTAATGTTTGGACTCTGATAGAGTTTAGTGTTTTTCCTCAGCAGGCTTTACGGCCTCCCCGGCTCCTCAGCAGCCACAGAAGCTGCGAGGCATCAATGCAGAATTTGACTCCGTGTTTGGCAACAACACTAATGCCAACAACCTGGATTCCACAGGTCAGTTTTGTATCGTATCATCTGGAGAGAATTTCATGTCAGTAGTGCTTTTAGAAATATAAATCTGTGATGTCTGCAGTACTTATCTTACCTGCTGGGTGTTCTGTGGACAATGAAACTGATCTTTGCTATTAAGATCCTAAAATCTCAGTAGTGGGTAATGTTGTAGAATCAGTGAGTGATCAAGTTTTTGGTGGAAATATTTTTCCCTGCTTAGACAAATGAGAGAGATCAGTGTCAGTTTCTTTAATGGGCGACTCACATTTTTAACATGACATGAGTTCACTGAGCTCATTACAGTAGAGTAAGACGACTTCACAGACAGGACTTGGTGAAAATATGACACAAATGTCTACTTTTGTGTCGTGTGCTGCTGTCGTAAACATGTTTACCTGTAGCGTGTGTGTTGTCTATGTTTTACATCAAAAATGAAAAGCAACATGTACGTTGTAACCAGTGCTGCAGTGTCATTGCTGTAACTAGAAGCACTGGTCCCAGTATTGAAGTGTGCCACTGCGACGGGCATTTGATGAGGTTAATAACTACTCACACTAAGCCTCAGCTTTACCAGTTTATCATCATTAACGTGTCAAGAATAATGTTTGTAAATTGAATCATTTTCACCCTCGTTGTGCTCACGACCTCCACCATCACCCCATCCTTCTTTCCCCGTCCTGGGTCAAACACCCGTCCTGCATGTGTGGGTGAGTTGGATCAACACATTATTCTGTCTTGATCATTTTTTAAGGTCCCTGCTTCTTGCCTCATCCTGACTCAGCGCCCTCTCTCTTTCTGTTTGTGTGCGTTTGTACACCTCGTGTCTTTGCTTTACTGTGTCATCGTTACCTGTTCTTGGCCCCCCAACCTGTCACCCCTCCCTTACCTTCCTTTCCCTTTGTCCTGCTCCAATTTGATTAAGATGTTTTAGGTGGCATCCTCAAACCTACAGTGGTATCCTCACCACATCAGCGCATGGCTTTAAACGGCCAGCAGCCCCACCCCAAGCTGGTATGTGATGATCTGGATTCGTCGCTCGCTAATCTTGTTGGCAGTAAGTTTTTCTCCTTTTACGTCTGCTTGTTTTCCCCAAGAATTCAGAATATAGTTAAATTACACACATTGCTGTAAAGATCAACGTATCCAACCCAGATAAAGAGTGAAAGATGTTTTTCTAATATCAGTTATCCTACCGTTGTGACTCATACTGGATGATGCTGGATGAATAAAAATACCTCGTACATATATTGTAGA